TACCCCCCATTGGTCACTGGAGTGACCATTTATAGAAATGTTGCAGAATTCAAAAAAACATGGAATTGAAAAGCTTTTACAGAACTGTTTCAAGCGCATATTGTAGCCTGAATGACAGGCTTTTCGCAGATCAGTTTGCCCCTACTATTGGCATGTCGGGAATATTTATCTTCTATTTCCAATGGCTGATTTATTACGTTTTCTGAAACTTTTCTGGGGGGGGTAAAGGGTTAAACTGATATTAACTAAAAAAAATTTTCTTTTGTCTATTGAAAAATAATGTTATTGAAGTAAAAGAGATGTGTATTAGTATGATAAAAGTCAATTGTCTCAGAGCGAAACAAAACCGTTGAACCGAAAACATATTTTAAAGCGTCATAATAAGTAATTCGATCGAGTCGTCTTATAAATAATTCTTGTTAATTTTTTGAATGATTGTTAGTACAGCTTTATCTATATTAAAATCAGCAATATTAATTTATTGGATCGCAAATATAATACTCTGAGACTACGTGATTTTTATACATTAGTTAGAATAGTACTGATCCTGCACCATCATGGCAGTGATTTTCAAAATATCATTTCAATACCGATCCGATGACCTTCATCATTTTTTCCTCTTATAATAAGAACAAAAAAAAAAGACGAGGCAGAAGAGAAAAGCGGGAGAGAAGAGAAGTCTATTGTATCTGGTGTTTGTATTTGATACTAAAATTGTTCTTAAAAACGGAGATAAAAACAGCTACAAACATTCTTTTTTTTTTAAATTGATGAAATCAAAAGTATATGCTTTTCTATTAATACTTTTACAATTATTAATATTTCTAACAGGATGTGTGATATATTTGCTTTTACACGGTATTTGTAGCATAAGCAGTCATAGACGACATCTGTCCATAGAATAACTTATTTGTTATTACAATAATAGCCAATCAAGATAAACGTAACATTTTCTGAGTTAGTATTCGAAATAAATCAAATCGTTCTAGTACAATTTGCAAATTTTTGCACTCATTTTTCGGTGTCCACACACTTATGAATAAAATCGATCAACATTAAATGAAGTTAAATTTTTAATTTGAACAATTCTTCAGTTATTGTGATCAATAAACTACTGAGAGTTACTTTCCATTTAATATAATGTTAATAAAAACAACTATAAGAAGAAAAACGTGAAAATAATCCGAAGATTGATAATCGATATTACTTAGGTTATTCATAGTTTCATTTATACGAGCATACTTCATATTTTTCATTGATTCTAGACAAATGTTTCGTCTCGTTGTCACACGTATTATATCTACTGGTAGGATACAAATAAAATCTTCAGAATGTTTATCATCTTCATCTCGTCATTTTCTACGAAATTCTACATCTCAATCGAATGAACGTCCTGTTATCTCGACAACTACATCAATTGATAAAAACAAAAGTGAAGAGTCTAGTCAAACGAAGTATAATTTTTATCCACTAACAATATTTTCATTACAGTTTTCATGTGTATTTTTAACCAAAAATTATATATATATATTTGTTTTGTTTTAGTAAATCAGTATCTCTACCAAAGATTTATACTCGCAGAGGAGATCGAGGTACATCAGCTCTGTTAAGCTCTGGTCCAAATCGTTTATCAAAAGATTCAATAATATTCGATGTACTTGGTACGATTGATGAACTATCAGCAACAATTGGTATTGTTATTTCAACTTGTCCTTTTCCTACAATATCAAAACAATTAGAAAATATTCAATGTTCTCTATTTGAAATTGGTTCATGTGTAGCTGCTGAAAATTGTTCAACTCGTTTTGTATTTAATGATTCCACATTAATAAAAGATTTAGAAGAAGAAATTGATAAAATGACAGACGAATTACCTCCATTACGTAATTTTATTTTACCTGGTGGTTCTAGTAAAACATCATCGTCTCTACATTTTTCAAGAGCAGTTTGTCGTAAATGTGAACGTTTATTAACAAAATGGTTGAATAATCAAACTAAAGAACAGCAAGAAACAGTTATGGGAATTTATTTAAATAGACTTAGTGATTATTTATTTACGCTAGGTCGATATATTGCATTTAAAGAAGGACATAAAGAAATATTATATCGCAAAAGCAAATAAATAAATTAATAATAAAGAATTCTTTCGATTTGTTTTTTAGATGTCATCTTTAGGTTTATTCGTATCTCGGATACGTTTTCCTATTTTTCGTCGTTACTTAGCGACACAAACATCAAATGTTAAAACACGAAATGATTTACCTTCGAATTTGTCACAACAAAATGATCCAAGAGTAATGCCATTACTTAATCCAGATGAATTATCCGAAGCTGAACAAATCTATATAAAACGATTTGAAGAACGACATATAAGAAATGTTGAAAGACGTAAACGAGAACGACGACGTGCACGAATTATTGGTTTATCATTTGGAGCTTTAGTTATTGCTATTTATATTTATACAATTAAACGTGTTCGACAAGAAACATTTTTAGATGATTTTGAAGTACCTGAACCACCGCCTCAAAAGAAAGCTATTGAACATGATTAAATCATTCTTTTCTTTTTAAAATTTTTCATTAAAAATAAAATCTAGTTAACTTTCATCAATTTTTTTATTTTCTTTTATCTTTTTCAAATCTTATTTCATAGGAATCATTAAACAAATGAAAGTATATCTATGAGAATGTTGGTTTTTTTTATTAATCTCAAATAATCTTTCGTCAGTAATAAAAAAATTCGTTTTTTAATAAATATAATACAACTGCTAAGAATACGACACATTAGTAAAACATGTTGTGTCGAAAGTGAGAAATGAGTATATAAAAACCTATGATAATAACAGATACTCAACTTCAACAGGATAACCACAATTAAAACTAAACAATATTGTTCGAGAAATCTTTAAACTTTTATTTGGATTTGTATTGATATTTTGAATTCATAAACTGAAAGTATAAATTAAATTAAATCAGTCTGTTACTGAAGCATTGATTTCGACATTTATAGAAATACTTTTCATTAAATGATATGGCTTTATATTTTATAATAACCTATCCTGCTCTCTTTCGAGATCAAAAAAAGTTGCATTCGAAATAGATATCTAGAATGATAATCATAAGTATCTCAATCAATAAGAAACATCGTTTCAGTCAAAATTAACTAAATATTTCGGAGTTATTACATTTTAAAAGTTATCATAGTGAAATTCATTGTGCTCATTAAGATGAAAATAAAAAACATCAGTTTTCTTAATGAAAGATTTATTGAGAAATAAAAATGATCAGAGAAGAAAACAATTTTAACTATTGCATAGAGTTTAGTAAAGAATTTGTTTATATTTTAGATTGTATTAATTAAAATGTTTCAAGTAACGTTATGTATTTTGAAACCAGATATTGTTCGATCACCTCATCTATTTAATGTAGGTGTAAAATGAGGTAATTTTTTTTTGTTGATTAAAATATATTTATTATGAATGATATTTTCAATTAGGAAATAATTAACTTGATACTTCAACGTCAATTTATTTTTATTAAAAGTAAACATTTACAATTAAATCGTCAACGAGCTGAAGAATTTTATCGAGAACATCAAGGTTGTTTTTCAATTATTTTTATTTTCTTTATTTATTTATTTATTATATTTAGAAAAATTTTTCTATAGTCGTCTAGTTCATTATATGAGTTGGTATGTTTATTTTTTGTTTTCTATTAAATTTCAAATATTTTTTTTTTATTAATTTAGTGGTCCAATATCATGTCATATACTTGGAAGAGAAAATGCAATACAAGAATGGAGATCAATGCTTGGTCCAACAAAAGTATACAAGTATTTTATTTTGTCTAAAATTGAATGAATTTATTCTTTTTCATATTTGTTTTTAGAACAATATTTGAAGCAGCAAATACAATAAGAGGTCAACATGGTATAACTGATACAAGAAATTGTGCTCATGGATCAGGTATAGATATAAACTATTCGATTTTATTTAATTATTTTATATATAAAATAGATTCAATTGAAAAAGCTCAACGTGAAATAAATTTTTTCTTTCCTGAATTTGACATGAAATCAATATCAATATATGAAAATATTTCAGCAAACAAATTCATATTTAACAAAGACACTCTAGAACATCAATTATAGTCTTGTTCTATTTAAATAATATAAAAAAAAAGCAAACAATATTTCTTTATTTTAATTCAATAATCTACCATATTAATTCAATCAGGATATGCTTATAGATATTCCACGTAGACATACCAAATCTAATTAACATATTTAAGATTACTCTGGATAACTTCATTTTGAATTTTATTATGTTTCTTCTAATGATATTCAATTAAATTGATTAATAATAATATCATATTTTAGATGAATTACATCAAAACGATGAAATAATTTTATCATTGTTTTGATTATTACAATTATAATAACAAGTCGAATTGTTAATCTTTTCCAAAAAAATAACACGTCTGGATTTCGATCCAGAATATCATAAAGACGGGCACCAGAACGATAAGTAGGATAACGTTTAGTACTAAAAAGTGAAGCATGTCAAAAAATGACGGTGCATGAGAATATTTGTCTTCTCTTCATGCCCATTTGCATCTAAATCCTTTGGCTTAACTTTTTGTTTTGGTTGGTTAACTGTTCGATGGTTATCATTGTTCACTAAATCTATAAACACGATATCCTTGTTCATCATATAGTTGAATTTGTTTTGTTGTATTATTAGTATCGATTTTCGAAACATCTCTTTTGAATAATTTATTTAATTTGAGTAGCTAATTTTTAATTATAATTTCAGTTCCTTTATCATCAATTTATTGAAGATCTTCAAATGCATTAATATTGTGTTCATTGATTCGTTACTATTCAGTTATATTGAGCATAAATCGAATATTTTTCTCATTGATGCTAGTTTTAGCGTTTATAGAATAATACTTTCATTTATAATTCTTTTCTTGAAATTTTAACTTACAATAAAATACATGACATATTAATCATTTACTTTGTTAGAAGAATGTTAGAAAAGGGAAACGAGGACACTTTTTTTATTTCTTTAATCATAGAGTTTTAATTTTCACGTAATAGAAATAAATAGACATTCGATAAACATATCACTAAAAAAAAAACAATTGATTGAATTTAATTTAATTGAAATTGACACAAGTGAAACAACACTGCAAATCACATCTCAGAAAGAACATAGTATAGACACATACCGATTCGGTTTTTCGATGATCATTAGTCACACTATATTTTAAATAGTAATAATCAAAAGTATAATATTATATATTTAATTATAAACTAGAAATAATAGAAGCAATAATAAAAAAGAAAGTTTTCATTCGAAATTATTTTATCAACGATCAAATATACTTTGCAAGATGTTTACTAAATAATAGGTTATTTTAGATGATAAATTAAAATAGTTTTTATTTATTTTATGTTCTCAGTCAATATTCTAAGTAGTTTGTTATTTTAATTGGTCACATAAAGATATTCATTCTTTCTTTTTTTGCATACTGCTCGCTCGTTTTTATGCATTATCATGTAACAAAGAAATCAGTTCTTTTTTCTTTCTTTCTTTCAACACAAAACGAGACACGTGTTGTATGCTTACATCATTTGTATGACATATGGAGATTATTATTGTTGTACTTTTTTACTTGGTGACAGAAGAAAAATTTTTTATCAAATTTTTTAGATATAATGATTTATGGTTTGTCAAGTCTTCTTTTTAGATCATTTTTTTCTTCTTTTCGTAATATGTCTTCAACTGTAGCAGTTCAAACTCCAAATGCTGCACATAATTTGGATAAAAATGAACTTTATTCAATTGGTCCTAATTTTTGGAATGTTCGTGGTCGTTTTAAAATTTTAAAATTAGTTGATATTGAAACACAAATGTCAATAATACAATTACGTAATGGAAAATTTCTTGTTATTGATACAGTTGAAATGAGTGATCGTCTTCGACAAGAAATAAATCAATTAACAAATAATGGTGAAAATATTGAAGCTGTTATAGGTACACATCCATTTCATACATTATCATTTCCAGCTTTTTATCAAGCATATCCAAAAGCAGCTTACTATGGAACACCAAGACATTTACGTCGATTAACAGAAATTCCATGGAAAGGAGATCTTAATGATTGTAATATTAGACAAAAATGGGAACCAGATGTTGAAATGCGTATTCCAGCAGGTTTTTTTTTATAAAAAATATATTAGTTTTTCAAAATAAAATCAATTATGGTTGGTTCTTTTTTTGATTGTAGGAGCTGAATTTATTAATCCTCAACCTGAATCATCAAATCATTTTATATGTGTTTTTGTTTATCATCCAACATCTCGTACTCTTCATGTTGATGATACAATTATGTATGCTGAAAAACCTGGTTTTTTACTTAAATTATTTGGTTATAAACATGGTGCAATGGCATTTCATCCATCAATTAAAAGTTCTGGTCTTTATCCAACAAGTGATGCACCACATATATTTCGTGATTGGATGCGTAATATGTTACGTGATTGGCCTTTTGAAAATATTTGTTGTGCACATATGGGTATTAAAATTGGTGGAGCACATGCTGATGTTACGACATTACTTAATAGTGCTGAACCTTTATTTGCTAAACTTAGTGAAAAAAATCGAAAAAAAAATCCTGGAGATGAAATACCACCTGATAATCATTCACATATGAATGTTAGTGGACATGAATGTGGATAATTCTATATATTTATGCTTTTTTAAATATAAACTAGCTCTATCGTGCTTTTATTTTAATAGCAATACATAGTTTATCTTGCTTATCTTTCATATTTATATTGAACATGTTGAATTACAGGTTATACATGTGAGCAAATCCAATAATGAATAAGCACAAATAGATGAGATATCTGCTCTTATATACACAGCGCACATGTTCAAAATCTAATATGATCAAAATGATAAAATATTTTCATAAAAAACGTATATAGAATAAGATATCAATCTATAGTGACTGAACGACAATAATACAAGTAAACAATATCTGAAAATATTTCTTGTACAGCCACTTTATCTTTTATCAAGAACATAACTTTTATTCATTACAGCCTTTATCAATATCAATATTCACATTTTCTTCATTTTCCTATAACATTGACTTTTAGTCTCAAGGCATCAAGTGAGAATAAATTATTCTTGAAGAAATTCATTTTTAAAAATATTTACAAGATTTGCTATGAATAGAAAACAGTCATTATATGGAAGACTTGAATATTTCCGATCAGAAAGTGAAATGAATTTTTTTTAGCTCTTTATATTAAAGCAAATGATGATTTAGATGTTCAAATGCGTAAACCATTAAAAAAAAATTTAATAATTCCTCACAAGACTCTGTTTAAAACATTTATTAACTGAGATACACATTTATATTACATAACAAGACAAACAAATATCTGATATGTATTAACTGGTCACCTAGGAACTAGTAGCTTCTGTGATATTAGGTACGCGATAACATAATCGGCGATAGCAGTAAATTTTGTCACCTAGATACTGTTGAATAGAAAGGTTATTCTATTCAGTTATGAATTTATCTCTAGTCGAATTCTAATTTTGTTTAGACAAAATTTAACTTTCCATTTTGCCTAAGGAATGTCTAGTCAAAATTAAAATTTTAATTTCACCCAGTCAAATTTCAGTTTTAGTTACAACACATATGTTCAAAGGATTTTTATACAATACGTTTCAATTAATTACAAGCATTAATTCATTTAACATCTTAAAGTTCAAGTTGTCTTAATGGAACTTGTTTCTTCAGATTTTGAAACCAATAGGAAAGCATAATACCCAAAGAATAGAGTATCAATCAAATGTACTTGAAAATATACAGCTTTAGCGAATCTTTCTTTCCTTAGTTAAAAACTATTCTACAGACGCTTTTTAATTCCATAAAAACCAAAGAAAGAACAAATAAATAATCAATGTCTATATCACCTTTGGAAAAATGGGGCCTATCTGAGGATACCTCTATGGAAAAGTAGGAGTCACTTTTGGCCGTATATTTCTTTTTGCTGGCTCTCGATGAAAGATTGGATCGAAAAAAAAGTCGTACAGGAAAACCTATAACGAATAAAAATTTTTGATGTAACAACTGCCAGACTTTGCCACAATGGTGATCCACCACTGTTTGTTATTATTCCAAAGGGAAAGATAGAATTTTCTATCGTTCCGAAGAAACTCAATAAAATGGATTTATACTTATTGTCAATCATGCACTAATGTTATTCCGACGAATACTACTCGTTAGATTCTGAGACTATACAATGTGAAATCTGAAAAAATATTTTAGCTCTCATCACATATGCGAATCATTGAAGTATTTCTAAGATTAATAAAATTATTTAACATAGGAATATTGAGGATGATATTTCAATCAACTTCGTTGATGAGAAGTTGCGACGAATTTAAATCAAAAGATTAAGAAGTGATTGATAAATGTCGGACTTAATATGTATCTTTCTATTACAACATTTTCATTATCGCATAGAAGCGAATGAAATATAATGTTTGATTATAAATATAAAAAGAGCACACATTTTATTTTGCCATTTCCTTCATATTGTTTCTCTTAAACTACGAATTATTTATTTATTGAATACATAATTACATTTCATAATGGCACTATTCACAACTCATTTAAAACAGTATGAACGAATGATAGACTCATTAGATTCATGTTCTCTTCATCAATGTTCAAATTTGCCATATAGTACATGCCAACATTGTGCTCGTCACTTTTGTCATAATCATTCGAATGAACATGAAAATCGATGCAATCAAACATTATCACATCTACTTACCACTATTGATAAACTTGTTGTTCGATTATCATCTATTCAACCGTATTGTCTCGAACAACTTGAACAATGGAGTGACCAAGCTCATCAATCTATCAATTATTACTGTAAAAAAAAACGTTATGATTTAATTGAAAAAAAGCAAGAACATTTAGAGGAAGAACTTACTAATCTTCGAAATATATTAGATGAATCGATTGAAGAACAAAATGGAATACATAATCAATTTAATAAAATCAATCATGATATTCAATTAATAGAAGTTAAACTTATTGAACTTGAACATCTTCGATTAACACATCGTCCATTAATCATTGATGAAAATCTAATTAGTTTACAATGTCTTTTTCCTTTATCTCATCCTCATCATACAATTCATATTAAATCTGGTAATGAAAGCTCTATTGCTAGTAATCAAAGCCATCTTCTCGTCGAACGAGAAGGTAAACATCTATGTTTATTAGATCGAAATTTTACTGTTGTTAAGGATATACCATTTTATCATAATGGTGTTCATAGTATTTGTTGGTCATCGATAATCAATCGATTTATTATCATTACTTTTAAAGAAATCTTTACTCTTGATGATAAAACAATGACACTTGAAAAATGCTCTATATCATCAAATATGGACTGGTGGCGTGCAGCGTCTTCGCATGATACTTTATTTTTATCATCAGCAAAATGGGGTTCATCAATTCATGAATTTGATCTTCGATCACAATTTCAATTTATTAAAGCATGGTATACACCAGTAACTTGTGGAGAAGATGAAATTATTTGTGATCTTAAATATAATAATAGTTTTCTTGCTATTCCTATATTTAATAAACATAAAGAAGAAAGTCGTCTTGATTTACGTTCATCAATAACACTCGATTGTATATGGTCAATTCGTATTCATGGACGTTGTCGTTGTTGTGCGATTAATGGTGATCAATGGTTAGTTATGAATCATGATGATGGTCGATTATTTCATATTTCAGCTGGTGGACGACTCTTGAAAACGGATAAATATCAACATCATCAAAGACTTGAAGATATAACAACTTGGAATGATAATATGATCGTCGTTTTAACTAAGAAAACAATCAATTTACATGAAGTTCGTTAGCAGTCTCCTGTTTTATTAGACTTTTAATGAGTTAAATTAGTATAGAACTTTTGATTAACATATTCAGAAATAAATTAAATGAAACTTCAATATTATAAACAACAATATTAAATATGATTTACGAAGATATATAGAATAGAAATATAAGATTAATTTTGAAATTGTTAAATTCAATGAAAGGACACTTAATACTTGAATCTATAATCTGCATGTTGTGATCAAACTATCATTTTTTGTTTTTAGTTTATTTCTAACATTTCATTTCTAAGGTAGTACTTTATTCGATACTAGATTTAATATTCATTTCAAAAGAAGGGTAAGTATTGTTCGAATTGTTTTTTATACTAACTAGATAGAAATCTACAGTTTTTATCGTTTAAAAGTCAAAATGAAACTTCATCAAATCTTGAATACCCGATTTTTCTGACAGGTTTTCTCAGTGAGATACTTACCAAATTTTTTTAAAAATCGAGGCTTTTTAATAGGTTTAGAAGGTGAATTTTCCATAAAAAAAATCAGAAAAAGAAGTCAATTTTTAGTGAAGAATCTACCGAAAACACGTTGTAAAATGTTCATAACTCGTAATCAGCTAATTGTTTGAATGCCGAACTCACATAGACTGTTGGACTTTAGTTAATGGTTCTGGTGCAATACCAAAACATTTGATGTAGTTTCATTTCCTCTATTAAACAATGAAAACTGTGAATCTCTATCTAGTTCCTATCAAAAATTATTACAAAAATACTCAACCTTCTTTTATTTTGAAACAGATATTAGAACCTGAAAACAAAACAAATATAATTTTTCTTCTAAGAAAAGAGATGTTAAAAATGTCGTTTATTTTTATAGGTGTCTAGGTAGAGTATAAGTAAAGGTGGGTGACTATACGTGAGGAGATGGCTCATCCTCTCTTATAGAATAATGGTATTAAACTGATCAATGAATGTCATAAAAAATGACTCAAACTTGAATTTTTACTACCGATTCTTTGGATCCAAAATTCAAAAACTATACTCTTAATCTAACTAACGAGATACAAAATTCGAAACTACGTAGTGGGAAGATCAGAAAAACCTTTTCTTACTACAAGTCAAGTTAAATCAGACTTAATTTGACTTGCTCAACTCTTTATAAATTCTTTATCGATATCTCAGAAATGATATCAGTTATAAGTAGACTAGAAAAAAGTATCTTATATGATTTTCTTCTTATTTAAATAATAAAAGTGAGAAGCAAATAAATTTCTTAAATGATAAGTTAGCATCCATATGTTCATATTCTCATTCTAATGATTTATTTCTTTTCTTTCTTCTCTGTAAAAAAAAAACGTGTGTGTTACATTGACACTTCGGCAGCTGCTTCAATATAAGGAGGCTTAGGGGAAAAGAAAGAAAATCTCTAGTGGTCATGAAGGCAACACAATGAATGTGTCTGATATCGAAGAGAAAATAATTAATGATATTCCTTCATATTTCGGTCAAGAATAAAGCAATACTAATCAATCTATATTACTTTCAACAACAATGATAGATGATACCGACGAAAAAAGAACGTATCATTTCATTCTTTCATATAACATATGTGAAGCTTTTCTTGGACAATGGCTGATTGATAGAGAAACAACATAACCGTACTGAAAAGAATAGCCAATATCAAACACTATCGACTTGTCTAGTCCAGTTCTTTGGTAAGCATTCTCAACTTGCTATTCTTAATATGAGGTAAGGAATAAAGGAATTTACTGTATTCAAATTATTTTATAAACTAGAACTGAATTCTATTTTATTTAAAAAATCCATGTGAAAAAAAGAATTAGAAATACTTGCGAATGACTAGAATTTTTATTCAATATCAAACATTACAATAGGAACGATTTTCTAGAATTTTCATATCTAAAATATCTAATGAGGGCATAATATCCCATACGTATGTTTTGGGATAATGACTACATCTCCATAAATTTATATATTTTTCATTGGAAAAATAGATGTCCTCAAGCATATTGCAAGATACAATGATTTTATAGTTCAACCGAAAATCGTCTCCTTTATCTCGAAAGCACAATCGTACAAACTTTGATAGTGTATATTATTTCGAAAGTTGCATGAGAGAAGTAAATAACATTGACTTAATAATAGGAAGATAAATCGAAATGTTGAGACGTTTTGTTTTTTTTTAGTTAAATTTATATTTTCTAAAACTATCAAAAAAAAAATGTTTATCTGTCCTAAAGAATAGTGAATAAATCTTATTTTTCTCAGAATTGATTTCTTTTTTTAAAGACGTTTTATCATCTTTTATAGATCTACAAGAAAACTTTGATATAATCAGCAAAAACAAACTTGAATTTTTCAATTTTTCTTACATTTTATTTTAGATACGAATATGTTAATTATTATTAACCGTCTTGTTATATTATTGACAATAATTATCACTTATTATGGGTGTTACTGTAAATCGATAAGACTTCGGGTATATCATGAATCTTCAGGTGTTGATTGTATTTGGCAGGGTAATGCGCCATTTTGTTTTATTGATTCTGGTTGTCCATTAAGAATGACAACTGTTAAAACTGATAAAAATGGTGATGGTGAATACTGTTTAATTGGATATAAGACATATTGTTGTATGCAGAGTGTTATTTAGAAGATTCTTTTTTTGTTCTATAGAAAAAAATCGAAATAAAATGTTAGGTGATAATTTTAGATTAGTCTTCGAAAATAAAATAGATAAAACTTTATTTTAAAATTGATAATAATCATTTCGATTACGTCTTCAAAAAAATGCACTTTCTTTATAGATATATTAATCAAATCAATTAAAAACAAATAATCAGCATAGTAAAACAAGAGTTAAATTGATTCTATTTGAAAGCACACAATAAGAGTCTTTCGTTCCAATAAAATATTTTTCTAATTTAACAGACGCATTTTATTTCTTCATGCCTTTCAAATCTTTGAAAAGTTGAATATTACTACTATCGGAATTGTAAAAGAAGGCACCTGGAAAAAAAGCTTATAACTTTCGAACGAAAAGTCATAGCGACCTGCGGTTTTCAGCAATCAATAGAAGATTATACGGGGCACAGTTTTATATAAAAAGCAAGGGTTAAATAATCAGTGATCGCATAATCACTGAAAGAATAGGCTAATTATTTGGTGAAATCTCAGCAGAACAAGGTGAAACTTTCAGCATATATAGCCCCACTGTACCCCAATCTTCACTGAAAATATCATCGATAAATCTTGTAATGACGAGGAATGGTGAGCCAATCATCATCTAGTCTTACATAAGGCACTCATTCAATCAAAATATTAGGAAATGGCCTCAACTTTTGGGTGAATAAGTACCATAGTCTAGACTTCATATCTATGCAATAGCATCGCACTTTGATCGTAAAAATGTACGGAAATAGCCAAAATTCGACGAAGAAATGATTTTCATAGAGTAAGTATTTTAAAACAAATCTTTCCAACTTTCTTAAGAAAAATGCAGAATTTAGTAATATTTTCACCGTCTCTTCTCGTTCATTTAATCAAACAATGATATAATTGCATAGATATGAAGTCTAGATTATGGTATTTATTCAGCCAAAAGTTGAGGCCATTTTCTAATATTTTGAGTGAATGATAGTCTTATGTAAGACCAGATGATGATTGGCTCACCATTCCTCGTCATTGCAAGATTTATCGATGATATTTTCAGTGAAGATTGGGGTACACTGGGGCTATATATGCTGAAAGCTTCACCTTGTTCTGCTGATATTTCACCAAATAATTAGCCTATTCTTTCCGTGATTCCACAATCACCGATTATTTAAACCTTGCTTTTTATATAAAAATGTGCCCCCTATAATCTTCTATCGATTGCTGAAAACCGCAAGTCGCTATGACTTTTCGTTCGAAAGTTATAAGCTTTTTTTCCTGGTGCCTTCTTTTAAAATTTCGATAGTAGCTAAACATCAGAATAATAATAATGGGGTTAATTACAATGAATGACTGATTTTTTTTGTCCACAATTGGAAAGACATATGCAACATTTCAATTAAATCTTATCTTCCATCTTGTTTGTTTTATAGATTTGGTTTTTATACAAGTGACCTTGACTCTTACAAATATTTCCAATAATTCTTATCATCGAATTAAGATGTAAGAATGTTTTGATTGAAAAAATTCGGCTCCTATATTGTTTTAAATGAGAAAATTCTCAAAAGAATTAACAATAAAATGCAGCATACAATCAATCGTAACAAGACCAAATCACAAACTATAAAAAGAATCTATACATCAGCAGATCAACGGCACCACAGCACCCACACTCTTTGATGTGCTCTGTCAATTAGAGAAATTTGTGTAGAGAGTATCGTTCTTATTCAGTTGTACTACTGAACCTAGCAAAGAGATACAACTGTATATTATGACTCATCATTTCAAAATATAAATTATTTCGTCTAGCTTGTATAAAATGAGTCATTTGTTCTTGATTATGTAAACTGTCCTTCGTTTCTCTTTTTTTTCTCTGACCCGTTCTCTCTTCTTTTCTATTCTTCCAGCAATATAATGTGACCGATATGATCGTAACGTTCGTTGAACATGAATGCGAGACTCACAAGTCTAGTATAAATTGAAGTTGTGCATTTTAGATGACTCATTCCTATTACCAATACATATCTATTCAAATTCGTTATATTTAAGTGAAGGTAAACATTGATTTATATTGACGGTTCAATCTCAGCAGAGTGTTTTGTCTTTCTCACTCAGTAAATGTATGTATGACCGCTGTCATAGGAGATTTTACGTGAATATATTCTGATTAAGTAATAGTTAAAAGTAAAAGTTGTTGAGTAGTAAGTTACACTGATTTATTAGTTAGATTTATCATTACTGATTCAGTCGATACAGTTGTACTGCGAGGATTTAAAATTAGTATTGAATAGAAAAAGATATGCAATGAATAGTCAACGAAACTGTCGTTTTCTTTGATCACGATGATATATTCATTTAAAGTACATTCTTACATTTGCTCCTTTTTTTTTAAATACATATGAGTTATGTAAATGAAGATAGTGATGAAGTGATCTCATATTTAAAAGAGTGAAAAGTACACATATATAATACAAATTGCTCGTGGACTCAATGCTGATAATATAGATCATATTAAATGAATATGATTCTTCTTCTCTTCCTTTCGCTTTTTTCTTTTCATCTTCTCTGAAATCTAATTCTGTTATACATATGAAAGGACGTGTGTTTTGGTTTGTGATACGATAATTCTTCTTTTTTTTGTTATTTGTTTCAAGGATAAAGAAAAATGCTAAAAATAAAGACTTTTGAAAACCAAAAAACAAATATAAAGAATTCTCTTAGATTTTATTCGAATTAATTCTTAATCAGTATCCTTTAAACCGAAGTTACCCAGATAAGACAACGAACAGAATTAAGAAAAGTTGTTCCGATATCTTCTTCATGCCACACATATAAAAAAGAAATCCGTTAGTATCATGAAATAGACAATTCGATATTCTCGGACATAGAAGAAAAATAATTATATAATTATCAGAATTTCTTTTTCTTTTGATTACTATTTAATTCAGTAATACATTATATGTTAAATGAAAGAAAAAAAAATGTACGTATCTTTCCCTTTGACCTCATGAGTCATGAGTCATGACTCATAAGAGAAAATGACCATGAATCTGTCCAACAATAGACAATGCACGATTATTCTCTACATCAAGGCGTCCTTAATATTAGTAATAATGAATATTTATGAATGTTGCAGATTAGGCTTTTCTAATATCACTTAAAAAATTAAAAAGTCATCTAGATTTATTTGTCGTTACCAAGCGTTACAACATGTTGTGTAAACCATTTTTTTTCTATAGGGTGTCCCAAAAGTAAGGGAACAGAAAAAAGATTGAATATCTACATTACGGTTTGAGCAAACGAGCTGATTTTTTTATTAATGATAGAGGTCTGTTCAAGCTTTATATCCATAAAGACATGCTTAGAGAGACCATTTGTTAAGTATCACCTAATGATCTCAATAAAAAAAAAATACTTTTTCACAGATAGAAAAAAACAATACGCTTAACGCAAGGTCTCACCAGACATGCCTTTATGAATATAAAGCTTGAACATCCCCCTATCATTGGTAAAAAAACACGCTCGTTTGCTCAAGCTATAGTGGAGATATTCAATTTTTTTTTAGACAAAGTGACTTTTGCGCCACTCTGTATATTGTTTTTTCTCATCTATGAAGAAGTAAATTTTTTTTTTGTTGAGATCACTAGGTGATACTTAACAAATGGTCTCTTTAAGCATGTCTTTATGGATATAAAGCTTGAACAGACCTCTATCATTAATAAAAAAATCAGCTCGTTTGCTCAAACCGTAATGGAGATATTCAATCTTTTTTCTGTTCACTTACTTTTGGGACACCCTGTATTTTTTGGTTTAAATCTTGAGTGTTGACAGAATTAGAGAAAATAGACTGTACTTTTCGAGCATAAGACAAATTAACGTTTTTATCAGGATGTCTTTTATAAAATTTTCTTCTGAATCTCAGATTTACAGTCACTATTCGAGTTTTTTTTCATACGAAATAAATATAAATAAACCAGAGATCAAATAACACATGTAAATAATAATCGGTATATGACTTTAAAAATATCATTAATACACTAAATTCCATGTGAGACTATAATATGTACAATACTTTGCAATTAAGACTAAACTAAATATATGTTATATATTAGTTCCATTGTTATCTTAGTTGCTATGAAAATATTTGTGAACTATTTCTAAATTGTGTCTTATAGAAGTCATTTCGTGTAGATGACATTACATCATGAATATAAACCACATAAAACATACTATTAGTTTTATATAATTGAAATTTATCGAGTCTTGAATCTCAATCGTATATCATAGGACGTAAACAAAGTTCTTTTAACCTATAATTTCAAGTATCCTTAACAAATTTTGCAAACCTCTCGTATTCACACAGTTATTCGACGTAGATGTGGAAAAGCCATGTTCGAGTATTTTCATAATTTTTGAACAATTCTCATATATCTCGGTCAGACTAACAGTCATAGTCGAGAAAATTTATTCATTTTTTTGTCTCATTTATTAGAGTGAAGCATTCAACTTATCATCTTTCAAATCGCAAATTGTTTTTTTTTTACTCATTTTCTTCTCTAAACGGTGCAATAATATTGCAATTTAATCATATATATATATATCCTCTCATAACTCAATACGTACTTCTTAGTATAGTTGAGCAAACTGTTGAAGCAAGCAGAACACTTGATTGTAATTTATCTTCACGATGACCCTCAATATCGTCAAACTTTTCTTTTATAATCACCATTATTTATTGTGAATACTGTCCATCTTTTACGGTACTAGTTTCACTGAGGCATTCTGAAGGATCTTTAACACGATCCAAATATGGTTTTTGTTTGCCAAAATTAATTTTCAACTATCGTTTTGCAATTGTAAGTTTGATAACCGTTAGCGATCACAATTCTGGTTAACTCTTGGTATTTATGTTTTCATAAATAAGCTTCGGACAATTTTGATGTATGATAATTGTGAACAAGAGTATAGGTCACAAGTTGAATTCATTAAATAACGAAATTGTAATTGAGTGAAGGCTTAATTCCAATTAGTCTCGTAGCTATGAATTGTTATTATGCTAGTATTTCAAATCACTATTCAGTCGGAAAACTCTGTTTTTTATTTAGAAATTCATCGAGTAAATATGGACTGTAAATTATCTCGAGCTTCTCTGATCGAATTGCGACTTATTCCAACACAAGTACTCAATGATGATGCTCTCTGCCCATGTTGCAAGCAACCAGTAGTCGAGCATCGAAATCAAATAGGTAATTTAACTAATATATTTATTAAGATTAAATCAATCAGCTAGATTTCTTTATGAATTTTTTAAAGGACTTGGAAAAGTTCCTTTTACATGGCAAAATCTATTTCCACGGCTTAAACGCATATTTAGAAAGAGTGCTGTAGTATCGATGATAATTGGAACTATTGTAGCTTTCGTTGTTCTAGTACTCGGTACTCTTCTCAATCATTTAATCACAACTCATGAAAAAAATCGACAAGGAATCAGCGATCATCTGGAGCAGTATCAAAAGAAATCATTACATATTCCTTACAATCCACATGCTCATATACCGATCAAAAAGAATACACAGAAACACTTTTCAATTCTTATCATCCCTGATAACAATCACGGTGATGAAAATTTAGGACTATTATTTGGTTTAATCTCTTTTTGTCTTTTTCTTTCGGTGACATTAACATCTTTGATTTTATGGCAACCTTTTTTAGCAAAATCTGCTTCCATTCCGTGTACAAAAGAAAAATATGATGGTAAACAGAAACTCTCATTGCCTGTAATTATGTATCAACCCATCTTTACACAAGTTATTACAAATGTCAAAGAAGATGAAGTCTAGAAGATATACATGTGCATAGAACGGTTCTTTTTTTTTAAATATGTATATAAAGATTTATCAAAATGTTTTTTTTTTACGTTCTTTGACGATAATAAAAAAAATTAATTCTAACACAAAACTTTATGTATAGAGCTGTTATTTCATCAGATTAAAAAAAGAACAAACAGTTATGCAGATTTTCTCCATTTGCTAGAAAGAAAATTTAAAAATATGAAAGTTAACAGATGAAAGAAATGCGAAATTCACTTAATAGACTCTTTTTTATCAATAATTCTTCTTGGCAAGTTAACAAATATCAAATTTTGAGCTATATTTGTAACTTCGAACTTAAAAATGT